TCCCTCTGCCTGTGTCTCTGCCTCTCTCTCTCTCTCTCTCTCTCTCTCTCTCTCTCTCATAAATAAATAAAGAAAAAAAATTTCTTTATGAACCAAAAATACCTGTTCCAAGTGCTCTGAGTTTCCCCTTATGTGGTGCTTAGTAAGTCTGTTGGCCCACTGTTTCTGGTCCTTGGGTTTGGAGTCCAGCTCTTTATTTAGGCCACTAAGATCCCTCCACCTCCTCACTGGCTCCTGCTTGCATCTTAAGTTCACATCATTTGTTCTGGTGAACACAGCTCTGTGAGTTATGGCATTAAAGGTCACCCAGGCATAATTGATTTTCTCATGGTGTCACTTGTATTGACTGCCAGTCCCAGAAAGGGGAAGTGTTTTCAATATGAGCATTTTTAGACATGATGGGAAGGGCTGCATCTCTGTGCATGTCAGCGCTGATAGGGGTGGCAAGGGAAGCACGGAGTACCTCTCTTTAGAGGTGGTAATCCTTTGCTGTCATCTATCACCGAAGCCTTCCTCCTTGCTTTGGTCCAGATGGGAAGCAGGCCCATTTATCCTGGAAAAGCATAGCACGCAACCTTAGGAAGTGATCGGCATCAGTTTTGCAGATGGTCCCTCAGTTCCAGGGCATCCTATCAGTCTGGTGTCATGCACATTGATCGTAGCCTTCCTTAAAAGAGATTCTGACTCACAACTAGAGTACCAATGCAATGCTTTTGTCCCCTGTCTGCTGAGTGCGAGTGAGAGAAGGTGTGTAAAAGTAAGGCAGAGAGTTGGTCTATAATGGCTACTATCTCATTTGTCCTGGGTACCTACAAGGCTCTGTCTGCAGTGAAATAGGGCTCTTTTATCTTTTGATTGCTGGTCCAAGAGAGGCTGCCTGCCAGTGACAGATGACTGACAAGATTTCAAATGGTGGAGAGAGATTGGGGAGTCTTAGACCAGAGCATAGAAAATGCATGGCATATTCAAAGCTGGGTCTTGGGAATGGCCAATAGACACATGAAAAGATGCTCAACATCACTAATCATCAGGGAAATTCAAATCAAAAGCACAGTGAGATATCACCTCACATTTGTTAGGATGGCTGTTAACACAAAGATAAGAGACAATGAGTTTTGGTCAGCCTCTAGAGAAAAGGAAATACTTGTGCACTTTTGATGGGAAGTAAATTGATATAATCACTACAGAAAACAAAATGGAGGTTCCTCAAGAAAATTAAAAATAAAACTACCAAATTATCCAGCGCTTCTACTTCTGTATATATCCAAAAAAAATTAATCACTCTGGAAGAGATATCTGCACCCTCTTGTTCACTGCAGCATTATTCACAATAGCCAAGACATTGAGATGACCTAAGTGTCCATAAATGCATAAATGGATTAAAAATATGATACATATATATAATGGAAAATTATTTATACATAAAAAAGAAGGAAATCTTGCCATTTGTGACAACATGGATGAATGCTGAGGGCATTATGCTAAGCAAAATAGACTCTCCTATGCTCTATTTCTCTATGTTCTCCTTTGTATGTAGAATCTATAAAAATATAGCTCTATGTTCTCCTTTGTATGTAGAATCTATAAAAGTATAATACAAAAAAAAGTAGAGCACAGAATAGTGATTGTAGGGGCAGAAGGGTGGCAGGAAATGTTGAGATGTTAGTCGGGTATAAATTTCCAGCCATAAGAGGAATAAGGTCTGGGGAACCAATGTATGGTGACTGTAATGTGTCATGTCAAATATATTTGAAAGTTGTTAGCAGAGAGAGGCAGAGACATAGACAGAGGGAGAAGCAGGCTGCCTGCGGAGAGCCCGATACGGGACTCGATCCCAGGACTCCAGGGGATCATGCCCTGAGCCAAAGGCAGATGCTCAACTACTGAGCTACCCAGGTACCCCCATTCTACTCTTTAAAGTTATGGAAGGCTCCAGGGAGCTTGTGCTTATGTGGGTTATATCTATTCATAGATATGTGTTAGAAATTAAAACTCAGCAATTTTTAAAAATTCACAAATTCACATTATTTTCCAAAAGAAAAAAATCGGTATCATTATACAGCTCTGCAAATATCTTTACAGTATGGTTTAATTGAAGACTGGTAGATTTTCTTATCTTCTATTAAATTCACAATAATACTCTGTTTAATTGAAGTAGGTGAAGGGAATCCTTGCTTTATACAGAGAAAAGAATGGGATATTTTACTAGTGTTTTCAGGTAATTGCAGACTTTTTTCTTTGCTACTACATCAAAACTCAACATATGGTATTTTCTTAGAGTTTAGTTGCATTGTGGAACTTGGAGCCTATTAATGAACATTTCGTATTCAGTTATGTTAAAATCCACTAGTTTATCTTGGATTTTCAGTGGATGTTTTCCCAAGCATGGTTTTGTAACACCATGCATTGGTCATTTGGAAAATACCAGTTCACTGACTTACACAAGTCTTTCAAATGTTGACATATTTCATTCTAAAATTCAAATAATCACATTTGTCATTATCACCACTGATCTAACCAGAAGAGTTTTAAGTACCGGGAGACAGTTAAGTTTATGGCGGTAGATACACATTTCCAACATTTTAACTTTTGACTGAAGGCTCAGATTTACTGTTGGCAAAAGGTGCTGTCTCTTTGGCCTGGAAGTGACAGGCTCACTTTGTTCATTATTAGGAAAATGTCTGCCAAATACACAGGTTTAGACAACCACCGCTTGTCGGTCGTTCTTCCAGGTAAAACTGGAAAAAAGTGATTGGTAATGCTTACATCTCAATTGCCTAACTACTTTTTCCTTGAACCACCTGTTACCCTTTAGTATGCAGCAGAAGTGCTTTATGCACATTTCTCGTCTTATCAGGGAACAGAAAAAAAATGTGTACTCGAGGTTTACTTTCAGTTTAATAAAATTTAATCTAAATTTAATAGATATTTTAACTGCTCCTTTATGAGTATTCTTAAGTAAAATTTACTTTTTAAAACAACCACTGTTCATGGCAGTGAACATTACAATGACCAGGAAGCCAATTTGATTTCAAAGCCTGGGTACATGCTAGGGCCAACCACCCCCAACAGTTTTATACACTGTGGTTTTTCCACCATCAGTTGAAATGTTAACACAGAAAAAAAAAAGACAAATAATGTCTTAGCATTATGGCAAAAACAAGTTTGACCTTGTAGATCTCCTGCAAAGTTCTCAGGGATCCCCTGGGGCTTTCCAACCATACAGTGAGTAACCCTCATCTACTGGTTTCTGTATTCCTCTCTATTGTCCTCGCTAAGTGAAAAGACCCATTTGCACTAGATCCATACTGAACATCTGGGGAGAGAGATGACAATTTTCTCCTCGATCCCACCATTTTCAACAATTTCATTCTTTCCTTGATGTGCACGCTGTACCCTTCAACAGAGGGTGGTGACGTTTCCAGAGGACCACAGAACTAACACCCATCAATTGATTGGGTCCCAAGACACATGGCAGAAACAGAGGAGAAAAGAGACTACAAGGAAGGAAAGCACAAAAGGATACAAAACCCAAAGAAAGAGAATAGGGGAAAGAAAGAGAGATGATCAGAGGAGAGAAAGCAGGAAGGGAATAAATGAAGAGAGAGAAAAATATAAGAGCAAAGAAAAGAAGACAAAGAGAAGGGGGTCTGGAGGTGAGATCTCTAATGCAGTTTGTTAGAAAGTCTCAGAATCGAGGGATCTGGGTTCAGCAGGATCACATCTAGCCTTGACTTTGCAAGTCACTGTCCTTTCTGCAAAATGAGAGGGCTGGAAAGGCAAGGAATGGTACACAGAAGGCCACCGCACAGGAACTGTGGGAGTCCCTGCCTCCCTCAAATTGTGAGCAAACTCTCCCGTGTCTGTGGGTTTTTCCCTAGTGCACAGAGTGGTTTGTTTTCATCAGTTACTCAAAGCTCTCTTTACCAAATTGTATGAAGAACTACCTACTTGGATGGTTTATATCTTTTCTAACCCTAAATCTTGATGATTCTTGCATGGAAGGGGACCCTGCAAACTGACACTAAAATTGTTTTCTGGCTTTAGAGGTTCACCTTCATTGTCTTTTTTGACTGAGCAAAATTCAGTATGAAGTCTCTGGCCTCTATAATGATTTTTTCATTCCTATGTTGGGGTCGGGGGTGGAGCAGCAGTCACTGGGGGTCCGGAACCCTGTCACACAGCAGTGCCCAGCAGGTAGGACAGGTCGGAAATGTGAGTCCCGGGGGCCACCGAACAGAGCTACTGCCCATGGTGTGCATGCAAACAGAAATGGCTTCACTCTGCATGCCAGAGCCGCAGCTCCTCTGGTCTCAGCTTGTTGACTTGGTCCCAGGGAAGGAACAAAGCTGGCCAAGTCCAATGAATGGCCGGCAGTGGAAAACCAGTGCTGCTGTCTGCTGGCAGGCAGGGCGGGCCGACACCACACTTGGTCAGCTCCCCCCTAGCGGCGCTCTCCTTCCCCCACCATGGCTGGCTTTGGCAGGGCTGCCAGGCCTGGGAATGCAGGAAGCTCTGGGTCACGGTGACCTCTAGTTGCTGATGCCAGATGAAATATGCCCTGGAGGTTCTCCAGGGTCACATGGTGTGTGGAGCAAGAGAAGGCAGGGCTGCTCTTGTGCTGACAAAGTGGATTTTGGCTCCAAAATGGCGCCCCTTGGGGAGTAGGAGGGGTTGTGGGTGGGAAGGGGGGGCGGCGAGGCAGTGGCGTGAGAGTGGGCAATGGGGAGAATCAGTCTTGCTTTTTTTCATCCCCCTTAGCCTTCCAGGAAGCCACTTGCTCCTGGAGATGGAGGCACACCCCCAAATCTGTGGCGCAGAAATTTAGGGAAAGGTTTCTGTGCGTTCTTGGTGTTTATTTGGCAGGACGCGATTGTTTCTAGCTCTCCACACCCTGGGCCTCATAGCCCAATAAAGCTGGAGGGTAAATAGGATTTGACTTAATGCTCCTCAGTAGTTCAACCACTCAAAATGGAAAGGAAGTGGGCTTCCAGCCCCTATCTGGGAAAATACGGCCCCTGCCTTTTCCTTCCTGCTGAAATCTCTCTTCACTTTATGCTTGCATGTTGTTCTCCTGAACCCCAGACTCCTAGAGCAGGCTCAGCTGTTCCAAATAAGGTCTTTACCAGAAAGCCAAAGATGGACAGCAATCTTTGGTCCCATTTGGGTTTGCGGTGCCCAAATACAGTCCCTTGACCTTGGCCTGGGCAGAGGGAAGGGGCTTGGCTACTTTCGCTTTCAGGAGTCAGGAGCGGAGGCCTAAAATGGAAACAGCTGAGAAGAAAGAAGCCAAGTCAAAAACAAGATCCAGCTGAAGGAGGTCAGGCCCGATAAGCAGGCTGACCACAGGCTTGAAAAGGAGGTCAGGCCCCAGGAGCTGGGAGTGTTTCTGCCAAGGGAGGACAATGGCCTGTGAGGTAGGTGGGCTGTGCTCTTCCACCCCACATTCTGCTTCACTTAGCAGAGTGAGGCCTTGCTGGCTTCCCTCTCTTTCTCTGCTGACCGCTGAATTTCCTAGGCTTCGTTGAAATGGGGAGAGGAAGGGTATGCCCGAAGAACTAGAGGCGAGGAATCTTTGGGGAAAATGAAACACATCCAAATCTCCAGCTCCGATCTCACCTCCTCCAAAAACCCTTGCCAAGTCACTCCCCATGGGTCTTGGCTCTACCTCTCTACCCCACTCTGTTGCACTTCATATTTTGTTTCTGGTATGTATCTCAAACTGTCACATAACAAATTACTTGGTAATGGTAATGCCTGATATTTATACCATGTATCTCTGTTCGCAAAGTCTATTGCTTTTGCGAATATTAACTCAGTTGTTTTCTATAATGGTCTTGAGAAAGAACTGAATGGTTATTGATAGTCTGCTTTATATAGAGGCAAACTAGTACAGAAAGCATAGACCTTGATTCCCTCAGGGAAGAGTTTGAATAAAAGCGTTATCACTGGCTCACTATGTGAACTGGGACAGCTTCCTTGACCAGCTCGAGCAGGTGGTGCCACCGCGAGAGAGATCTGGACCCCCTTATTTGTTACTGGAGTCATTTTAGCTTCCACCAAGAGCTACATTTTTGGTAAAAGAAAATCCTGCCCTGGCACCCACAGAAGAAAAAAAAGATTATTTTGAAGGCATCATATTTTTACCAACATTCTGTTTGGAACCCTGAGCAAATGCCATGGTTTTCTAGCATCAAAACAAGTTTATTCCAAAGTTTCTTTTGGAAATTTGAAGGCAGTGAACTCTGCCAGAGTTCACATCATAGCTTTCCTTGGCAACAGTGCCCCTGGGTCATTACCACTTCTCTAGGCACATCCCTGCACCCCTGTTCTGCTTTGATTCCTTTCCCTTTTCCCTTCTGTACACTACCACTTGCGACCCTTTGCTTTGCCCCTTTGAAGCTTGTTCGTCTATGCTGATAAGCTCTCTCCTCTTGTTCGTCTTTTTACAGGATTCATTCCCTACTCTTCCATAACTGGAACCTGGTATCCCCATTTACCACTTCCACTTACCTGGAAGTTCTCTTATCTGGAATGCTAATACATTTTTTTTAAAAATCTTACCTGGAAATAGAGCAATGTGACTTTTTTCTATAACATATATTGCTGCTTCCAAATCATCCTCCTTCCTCCAGTTCCCTCTCTCTTGAAAAACAAACACATGGCATTTAGCGATACCATCCAAATACCACATTCCATACTCCCTCCTCCACCCCACTGCCATCCTGTCAACCATGGACCTCTTAATCTCTCTTCACATCCATTGGTTCATTGAAGGCTAAGGCCCACAACTTGTTCCCCTTCCTTCCCTAAGCTGGGCCATTATTCTTAGTGATCAATATCCAGAGGATCGTCTGATTCCTTGGCTTTCAGAAACTTTAAAATTTCATTCTCCGACAACAAACCTCTATCATTGCATCTCTTACCCCTTCCTGTGTTCTCTGGTGTCCTGCAGATTTCTTGTGCTGTCCATGCCTACCTTCCCCCACTAACATTCCCTTTCTGCTTTCCTGTTCTTCTAATCATCCTGTCTAGCCTGGATGGCCATTCTCTTATTGGGATCATAAATCCCTCTCCTTGGACATTGCACATTCTGAATTAGCTCCACTTAGACCACTGAGCCAGCTGGGGGAAATCAAGTCACCACATGAGTTGATGTCACTATAAATTCATGGATCCAACCTTTATCTGGCCCTCAGTGACACCTCTATGGTCTTTTATGTATTGAGAATTTGGTCCTTTTCCTATTTTCAACCACAGACATTTTAGATTCTTCTGAAAACTCCATTGCCTCATCCCATGGTTCTGTTACTCTCAGTAAGGTATCGTATTTGCTATGTCACAATAATGTTGAGGTTATCAGATGAGAATTATAGCCTTATCTTGGCTACACCTTCTTCTGTGGAATAGGTGTCTCTTCTTTCAGTCCAGTTTCCCCCTGAGCTCTGGATCTTATCACATATCTCTTCTTCCTCCAGAACTTTGATCTAGCAGTTCTCTCCTGTTCTTTGTATCTTCAACCTTTTCTTCGCTTTACTGGATTTTCCCATTCAGCATGAAAAACTTTTTTTTTATTTATGATAGTCACACAGAGAGAGAGAGAGAGAGGCAGAGACATAGGTAGAGGGAGAAGCAGGCCCCATGCACCGGGAGCCTGACGTGGGATTCAATCCTGGGTCTCCAGGATCGCACCCTGGGCTAAAGGCAGGCGCTAAACCGCTGCGCCACCCAAGGATCCCTCAGCATGAAAAACTACTCATTTATCCTACCTTAGGAACCCATACTTATTAGAAATTGCATTCTGTTGACATTTCCTTTAGCCAATATTCTCTGCTTCCTACACCTAAAAACTATTTACTGTATACTTAGCTATTACTGACTCTGCTTCTCCATCACCCACTCTTTCCTCAACCAGCCACAGCCTAGGTGCTGCCTCCACTACTCTGCATATGGCCTTAGAGTGAATAAACACACAGGTCTTTGAGGCCCCTTTTTCTTGACATCTCTACAATATTTGATCCTCTAACTATTTCCTCTCTCTTGAAGTTTCTCTTTCCTTAGTCTCAAGGACAGCACTTTCTCCCACTTTTCCTGTTTTACCATTCATTTACTTTCTGTTTCCTTTGCAAGGTAATAATATCAAAAATAGCAAGTATTTCTTGAGTATTCACTATTTATTATGCTGCATGGTCATATACTTATACACATCCTATTACTTGGTTGATAGGAGCCTGGGAGGTAGGTGCAGTTATTATTCACTCTTTGCAGATGAGGAAGCAGGAACAGAAGTGTTCAACTGACTTGTTCAAATCATGCTACTGCTAATGAGCAACTGAATTGGGATTTGAACTCAGGTATTCTGGCTCCAGGGCAGGGACATGACCATCATGGATCCTACTGTCCCTGTTTCCTAATGACTTTATGTCTGGGTTTTCAACTTTAATCTTTTCCTTTTCTCATCCTACATTCTCTTTGCAAATGAACTTGTCACCCGCTCCTATATTTGGTTAACTCCTAAATCTGTAATTCAGGTCAAGAAATAAGAAATCCAGCTGGAGTTATTGTTAAAAAAAACTTTTTTTCTGACCTTTCCTTGATCTCAGTTTCTTTATCTGTGAAGTAAGAATAATAATAGCACCTACTTGACAGATGTATGTAAAAAGCTGATCTACCTTCCTGGCCAGCTGATTACTTTTCTACATCCCTACTTGAATGTCCCACAGGTATCTGACACTCAACAGTTTGATTCTGAACTGAATGTTGCCTTGAAATATTTCAATATTGATGACTTCCCTCCCTTCTTGTCTGTCTGATTGTCCAATGGATAATCTTTTCCTTCTTCTTTTGGTCCTCTATTTAACCTACTCCAGGTTGGATCCTGTTGATTCTAAAACTTAAATTGACTTCATTGCCTAAATCTAGGCCCCTAAACCACTATGATTCCAGACAATTGTAGGGTTTTCCTATCTAGATTCTTGCCCCTACTTTTGTGGTCCTGAAATGGTACTAAAGAAAAAAAAGAAGAAAGAAGGAAGAAGGAGGAAGGAAGGAGGAAGGAAGGAGGAGGAAGGAAGAAGGAAGGAGGAGGAAGGAGGAAGGAAGGAGGAAGAAGGAGGAGAAAGGAGGAAGAAGGAGGAGAAAGGAGGAAGAAGAAGGAAGAAGAAGGAAGAAGAAAAACGAAGAAAGAAGGAAGACAAAGAAAGAAGGAAGACGAAGAAAGAAGGAAGACGAAGGAAGAAGAAGAAGAAGAAGAAGAAGATCATATGATTTCTACATTACTCTGCCTAAAATTTTTCGATGGCCCTCCAATGCATTGTTTTTGTTGTTTAAAGTTATCCTTGCTTCCCTGCTTTGTCTTATTTTTTGACACTCTCCCAACTTTTTACTTCTTGCCCCAATAACTTGAAACTATTGGCAATCCTTCAAATGTCAGGTTCTCTTACAGCTCATCATATTTATAAATGCAGCTTTCCCTACTCATCTCCTCTTTCTCTAACATCTCTTTGTGTTCAAGACTCAGTCAGTGCAGGTGTCCTCTCTCGCATAAATGTTTTATCCTAATGCCCACGGAGTACTTTGGTGCTTTCTCTGAGTTTCTATAGCACCGGGTACATACTTCTGTCGATCAATTAGCATTCAGCATCATGTTTCTTAACTTCATGTTGCCCCCAGATCTGCCAGAGCTAGGGTTGGTAAACAACGGCCTGTGGGTGAAATTTGATCTCTTAACCTGATTTTGTAAATAATGTTTTCTTGGAATACAGGCATGATCATTCATGTAAGTATTCTCTGTTTTATACTATAAGAGCAGAATTGAATAGTTGTGACAGAGACCATTTGATCCATGAGGCCAAAATGTTCACTGTTTGGTCCCTTGCAGAAAATATTTGCAGACCAATGATCTTACATCAATTACTGTGCATCACTACAGCCAGATTCTTAGAGATGCCAATGTCTGGAGGGAAGAAGTAGATCAAGATCTTGCAGAGGATGAATGGCACAGGAAGGGGTATTATTTGGATGAGTCAGATACACACTGTGAGGGGTCATGTCCCTACCCAACCCCACTGAGAATGTTGTAATGATCTATGTCCACACACATGTCCTTACGAAACACCTCTTAGGAGTGTTGTAAGTCAGGGACTGTATGTTTTTCATCTTTTGTCTTCCATGCCCAGCATGCTAATAAGTTATTAGAAGTTTAAAAAAGAGGCAAGCTTAAGCAGGAAGAATTTTTGCAGAACCCTGGGATATACTCACAGAACCCAAGGAAGGTGAACACCCAGTCCTTGGAAAATGCATAGCAGTGGAGCAGATATATGACTGCCATCAGCATCCAGTCTGTCTTGTGTCTCTGCTGGTTTTTACTGTGCCAGCTTCAGTTTTCTCTTTTACCATGGACTTCCTCCAACTAACA